ATAAAGGAAAGGAGTCATATCAACTTCATTTTAAACTACAGTTTTAGTAGGTTTATAAGATGTTTAATAGGCTAAAGCAGTAATCACACCCAACCTTTTTTTAGTCGCGGCACCCTTTGGAAATTTTAACAAACTTCTGACACCCTACCAAATAAATTTTGTCACAATGTTTGAATTTCTAACTTTGATATGATAATTTGAAAAGTATAGATATTCGGTACAACAGGGAAGAACTGCAGAATATAATGTCATACAGATATTTTTAATGAACACTTTAGCAATTTAAAAATATTAAAAAATGATTTTTTTACACAGTACCCCGGTTGGGAAACACTGGGCTAAAGAGTGAAGAATAATTCACTGGATAATTTTAATTCACTGAATAATATTCTCTGGAATATTGAAATATAACAAACAAAATGTCGTATTTTATTGCATTTCTCAACTGGAATGTTATATCAGAATTTTAATAATGTTTTTGTCCTTCTAGATTATGAAATGCCTGCTGACAGCATGATTTATCTATGCAGTTACACAGAACTATACTCAAACTGCGATCGAATTAATTTCCATAGAGTTGTATTTATTTAGATGTTTATTATATAGTAAATGTTAATACAATTTAGGATGTTTTAAACAAATGAATTGTTAAAAGTTACATGCGGAGGCCGTGCTGGAGCATTTCCTGAGCATCACAAAGATTGGCCTCGTTTAGTGTGGCTGCTGCTGCCGAAGCTGGAGCAGGTTTGCTGTCTTTGTTCAGTTCTGGGCCTTCTCGAACAAGGTTGAATAGACCACATAACAGGTTTATTATTCAAATGATAGATATTTTCAGTTCGTTTTCACGGTGAAGAACTGAATAAACTACGCGTTCTGATGTAACCAATTACTCGTTTACTCACTGTTTGTTTTTTACACGTATAAATGTGTGTGTGTGCTAGCAACGATACATTACGATGGTTGACTGACAACCTTGACGGGTCGTTTTAAGTTCTGGTTAACCAACTTTATTAACAATAAAGGCTATTCTACATTTATTTACATTACCTCAAGCAGACAGTCAACAAACATAGTCATGATTGAGTGTAGAAACACTGCTAGCTAGCTGTTATATGCTACATTCCGTCGACATATTAGATCTAACGTTATATTAATCCGAAACAGCTTGACTTGATTCACACTACCAACACCAAACAAAAATAAATAACATATTATTAGTTAATAACAGAAATGCTATTTTTAACCCCGATATTCGATATAAACAACGCTAACGCTAGCAGGTAAAAAAAAAAAAACTTGGCTAATGTTGGTCATGTACGCACAAAGGTCTTACCTTCTGTATTCTCTTTAATGCCATGCTGCTTTACTGTGTGTACCGCCCCAGATTTACGCGATTATATTATGTGTCCGATATTATTGCTACGAAACAGCTCAGCAATACTGTGTTTCCCTGAGTAAAACGAACGTGAGCGGCAAGAAGGAGAGACAGCTGTAGCACAGCAAGCTCACTCTTCCGGTGCGGAGCTGGGGAAAACAAAATAAAAGTCATTATGTATCATTTGCAAGAGCATTAGCAGTTCACAGTACCAGAGCATGTGAGCGAAGCGGAGCGGTGTGACGCTACGCTACGTTATATAAACAACGCTAACGCTAGCAGGTTAAAAAAAAAAAACTTGGCTAATGTTGGTCATGTACGCACAAAGGTCTTACCTTCTGTATTCTCTTTAATGCCATGCTGCTTTACTGTGTGTACCGCCCCAGATTTACGCGATTATATTATGTGTCCGATATTATTGCTACGAAACAGCTCAGCAATACTGTGTTTCCCTGAGTAAAACGAACGTGAGCGGCGAGAAGGAGAGACAGCTGTAGCACAGCAAGCTCACTCTTCCGGTGCGGAGCTGGGGAAAACAAAATAAAAGTCATTATGTATCATTTGCAAGAGCATTAGCAGTTCACAGTACCAGAGCATGTGAGCGAAGCGGAGCGGTGTGACGCTCCGCTACGTTTTCCGCTCTATGGACGTGCGCTCCACTCAGTCGCTCTAACCGCCCAAGCAAGCGCTCCGTTAATATTCCGCTCACGCTCGCCGTAAACCAATTCCCGCTCACGCTCACATGCTCTGCACAGTACTGCCAAAAAAGTATAAATTACGTAAATTAAAGACATAGAGAATAAGGGAACGCAAACAAATACATAAAGGAAACGAAAAGGAAAAGGTGCAACAACAACAACAACAACAATAATAATAATAAACCTACAAAAGAAAAGAAAAGAAAAGTCTTTGGCACTGAACAAAATTTAGCGAGGACATGATAATCCGTCAGACCTGAAACAACAAACTGGAAGCCAACCAGTCAGGTTTCAGGAGTGGCCATTCAACTGAGACTGTGCTACTGTCAGTCACTGGGCATCACAGGGATTCCACTTCGCTGGTTTTAATCATATCTCACTGGTAGGTCGTTCAGGGTGGCCTTGGGAGGGGAGGTATCCAAAGCACATCAACTGGTCACTTGAGTTCCTCCGGGATCTGTTCTTGGACCCCTCCTCTTCTCCATATACACTACATCATACAGGCACATAGCTTCTCCTACTATTGCTATGCTGATGACACACAACTCTATCTCTCATTTCAACCAGATGATCTAACGGTAGCTGCACGGATCTCAGGCTGCCTGGCGGACATCTCGGCATGGATGAAAGAATATCACCTACAGCTCAACCTGGCAAAGACTGAGCTTCTTGTCTTCCCTGCCACTCCAACTCTACAGCATGATTTCACCATCCAGCTAGGTTCTTCTACAATTACCCCCATCAACTTCGTTCAGAAATCTTGGTGTAATCTTTGATGACCAGCTGACCTTCAAAGACCACATTGCAAAGACTGCTCGATCTTGCAGGTTTGCATTGCACAACATCAGAAAGATCAGGCCCTTTCTAACAGAGCATGCTGCACAACATCTTGTCCAGGCCCTTGTCATTTCTAGGCTGGACTACTGCAATGCTCTTCTGGCTGGACTTCCATCAAGCACAATCAAACCTCTACAAATGATTCAGAACCAGTGAAAATATTTAATAAACATAAAAATAAATTTGTCCTGACAATAATATGAATGTATAAAATATAGAGTGTAAATTGTTAGAACACTTGGCATATTTAAGAGGTTTCAGTTGTTTTTGTTGAATTGGCTATTACAGTACCCATAAAACAAACTATTGGCGGAACTACCTGCGACGGAAGGCATCTGCTGGAACATTGAAAATTATGGACTGGGCCCCTCAAAGTCCGGACCTCAACCCCATTGAGCAAATTTGGGGTGAGTTGGAAAATAAACTGGACAGATCTATTGTACATTCAAAGGAAAGCCTTTGGCTTGAGTTGCAGAAGGCATGGGGTAACATCAGTGTTGACTTCATCCTAAAAAAAAAAAAAAAAACTTTGTCTTTCCCTTTATTTATTCCTTCCCTTTCCAGCTTGTACTTATTTGAACAAATGCCTGAAACTTGGTATGACGAGCACTTCCTGTGTCTATTTGCCTCTTTAAGAACAATCGTTTTATGTATTCCCCAATTGTAAGTCGCTTTGGATAAAAGCGTCTGCAAAATGACTAAACGTAAATGTAAATAAGTTTTTTAAATAACCAATTGCGTTCCACAGTGGTTTAATTGTTTTTTTTTTTTATGTGAAATCTTTATTCTTATTAAGTATTAACGTAAGAATAACTTTCATAATGTTAATAATATTTTAGTTTCATTGCTGGACTGAAGCAACTTAAATTTACTTTATTATGTCTCTACTTTTTTATGAAGAAAAATCATATTAAAATGTAAGTATCAAATATGACACATCAGGCTTTCGATTAATGTTTGTCTGTACATCTCTCAATCATCATTGCATTATAAACAATTAAATTATATTAAAACTATGTGCAACTATATGCATTTTATGTAAATAGCCCAATACTGTTATAAAAATATCACTGATCTATCAGAATTACTTGCTTTTTGGCCACATAAATTACAGCAGCAGCATATTTTGGCTCAGTTTGGGTCCTTTTTTCTCTGACTTGTATTTTGTTATATGTCAGGCTTCAAAGGGTTAAAGCGTTTACGGACACCACGCTTTACCAAATATAACTGAATAGCACAATAATACAGCGCTTCCCGCAAAAATAATAAACGAATATAATTAAATTGGTAAATATTGCTATCTCCCAAATGTTCTTTAAGTACAGGTACATCTATGACATTTTAAACTAATACTTCTCCCACAATGCACTTCGCTTAGATGGTAGATGGAATGGCGCCTTTACCGGAGGAGGCGGAACTGTAATTCACGACCATAACATTCATTTCAAGACAGCTATTGTGTATCTTGTTCTCACCGTGCATATTAAATATTTGATTCCTTTTATCGGGGAGATCACTGCACGTGTATGATGGCTCCGTTCAGTTTGATGTCAGTCGGTGCTAATCTTTTGGTAAAGTCTTTGGGTTTGTTTTCGAGTGCATCTGTTGTGAGGTGAGCGTGCTTCAAGTTTAAGGTAATTGATGCATGACTTGTTTATTAGTTAATGTATCATATCTAATGAATTTTATTTTAACAACATTTAAATGCAGCTATACATTCATATTTTCACATTTTAACAGAAATATGGTCAGTTAATGTAAGATATATATAGTGACAACGCTGCACTCGCTCAATAGCTAAAGTAAAAATGTAACTTTTGTGTAAGGTGTAAAAAACGTTTTTTTTTTTAACAAATAATTATTCTGTAACATCCATGACAATTTGTGTACAGTGACAGTTATTTGCAATTGTAGGTGTTCATGTGTAGCTCCAGTGTTAAAGAGTTTTAGCACCACAACCGGGGGTCCACCTAAGAGACCCCTGACAGCATACATGACATTTGTGAAAGAGATGCATCCCACCATCAGCAGACAAAATCCAGGTATCCGCTTCAGTTGCAGAAGCTACCTTGCATTTCTGATTTGTTTTGAAACAAGATAATGAACAATCTGTTTTGTTCAGGAATCAAAAATGTGGATATTGTCCGAAAGTTAGCACAGCAGTGGAAAATGCTGACTCTTGAACAGAAGCAGGTAAATTCTTGCTTCATGTATGTGTGTGTTCATATGTTTTAGTTTATTTTGAGTAAATGTGCAAAATTTCAGCCTGAAATAAAATGTGTACATCTCCATTTCTGTACATTGCATATGTATACATGCATACATACATGCATCCAGGGAGCAATATAAGGTTGCTGTGGACAACAGACTGCTGCTTTTGCAATAGAAAAACACCAATCAATATTTATAGGGAATTTTTACCTAGGGCTGTGTATTGACAGATTTCAGATCTAGTTATTTAAATTTGGTTATAAATCATGTACAGAAAGTGTAAATTTTTCTAAAGGAAAAAAATCTGTCACAACTAATACTGTAAACTACACAGGGAACCCAATCAGCTGGTACTTTAATAATGTTAGTTTAAAATTATTAAATTGAATTGCTATTTATTTTTAGATATAATACTTGTATAACTGTTGTATACAGTGATGTAAATTGGGGAAGTCGTGGCCTAATGGTTAAAGAGTCAGACTCGTAACCCAAGGTTGCGGGGTTCGAGTCTCATACCGGCAGGGATTGTAGGTGGGGGGGGTGAATGTACA